TTATTAATATTATTCTTTCTTTAATATTATTTTTTATTATTCGTTCGTTGATCTATTAATCCAATTAAATCATTGTAGCAAATATTGAAGCAAGTTTCTTCTTAATACTTAACTCTGTGCGTTTTCTGTTGAAACATATTAATCCAGATCAATGCAAATTAATCTACCACTTACCGTTAATAAACGTAAATCGCTGCTGGATATTGAAATTTCTCGTGAAACTATTCGAAAATATCACAGAGAATCTCGGTTGGTCCGCTCGTTGGTCACTGAAATCTCTGCTCGTACGGCGCTGTCAGGAATGCTTAAAAATATAATATAAAAATATAAATATCTTTATGTATTAATTTTAAAAAAAAGAAAATGTATTCACTTTTCTCCTATTTAACTATATTTAAATTTATTAATTTAATTTTACAGAACCTCTTGAAATAATAACAATATGATAACATGAAAAAATAGAAACAATTTGATAAAATGTTAAGGAAAATTTAAATGTCATTACAAATATATGTACATTTTATAATCTATAATAATTGTTTGCAAGAAAATAAAGCGTATTTCCGTAGTATCAGGATGTTATGAGTATCCTTATTCATGTTGCTCAGCAACGAAAGTGCGATATACTGAGGAGTCAATAATATATTTATTTTTAAGAAAAAAAATAATATACATACATTAAACCTTTCATTTTTTTTTAAATACATAAATTTATTTTTAAATATATAAATAAATTTTTGTGATTCAAAAGAAAAATGCAACTCGTTATCAAAGATTTAATTAAAAAGTCTTTGGGGAGGATATTATATTATTTTGAATTATAATCTAATAAGTGTTTCACGTTACGTTTTGTGTAAAAGTATCCTTATTTTTCATTCCGTTCTTGATATGAAATCCGCTTCTGCATGAAATCTTGTAAGACGGAAAAAAATTGAATTTTACTTCAATAAATAAATTGGTCACCGTACCAAAGCGATTGAAATCGTGACGATCCACTGTGACTTTTCCAGAGCAAGTACAATGTACTCGGGATAAGACTTCGAGTCTTCTTGCGGGTTATCGACCCCGCATAGGGTTGCGTAGGCAGTGTATGGCGCGCGAGGATTCCAAGGAACGACACGCGGGGTGCCCGCCGCAGCGGAATCGCGATGCGCGACTCGAAATGAAGATGCGTGGGTGGAGACGGCGCTCGGCGGCCTCCGCCGAGCAACGGGGCTGGGTGGACACTGATGAGAGCGCGCGATCCCGGAGACGGCGGGCCGCAACTGACCCGGCGCGACACAGATTCCGTTCCGCGCAACCACCCTCCCGCACCTCGCCCTTACGAGACGTAAGGTAAATGTACGGACAATCGCCAGATATCTGACACGAAAAGTTTGGCAACCTGTAGACTCCCCGTTTGTGAAGAAGATCTGTGCGAGGGATATCTCAAAAAGCTTCTTTTCTCTCTGTCTTAAATCCATAGAGTGACTTATGTAAACTCAACAAAACTAACGATTCTTGTCGCAATTGATGAAAGGCGTTTCCGTCCGAAGCGTTGAAGTGAAAAGCTTCTGAAGATAAAACAAACTTATAAGCATTTTTTTCTGGTTATCAATTTTGGCAAGCAAGAATTACTGTTAGAGTCTCGCTAGATACATAAAATAAACAATGCAAAAAAATCGTAAAAAATATTAATGAGATAATTATAAAGGTATAGCTAGCGGGATAGCTAGATATCTGCCGTACGAATTATAATACGTACATTTTTCTTCAATATTTTTAATTAAACAAACCATACAAATGAAATTGTGAGCACATGCACGAGTTCGCACGTGACTCGGGTTATTCCACATTTTTGCTTGAAGCACAATTCTTTAATGCCTGCAGTTTTAAGGTTGCTTTCAGGGACAGTAAATATATTTGAGAAATCCTAAATAGTTCAGTCTAAAAATATATAGCATTACTCTTTTATCGCGAGTTTTTCAATTATATAAATAGTCACTTCATATTATAAAAATTTTATATATATATTACACACACACACACACACACACACACACACACACACACACACACACGCGCGCGCGCGCGCGCGCACAGAGAGAGAATTATAGAGAAAAAAAAATTAGACTTTTTTATTAAATTCTTTATATTTAAATACTTTTATAATACCTTTTTAAAGATATATTTTTTGATATAGAAAAAAAGTTTTTTTAATTTTTTGTATTATAAAACAGAAAAACAATATTTGTACTTTTAATTTTTTTCTTCTTTCTTTTTTGTAACATGTCGAAAACGTAGAAATTATGTTTTTCCTTTCACGTTTTTTTCTTCGTCCTGAATCTGTACAGCTTTGTATTGCAATTTCCATTTCTTTATAGGACAATCATATATCTGCAATTCAAATATTTGTTATTCATAAACATATAACACATATTACATGTGCGATTGTATTCTGTTTATAATAGAAAAAAAAAAAATTCT